AAAAAAAAAAAACAAAACAAAAAACGAAACACCCCAAAGCTGCTTGTGTTGAGCTAGAAGAGAACGTTGTTAGAAATTAAAATGGAATTTCATTGAGTTGGATGGTTTTCTCCTGGAGGGGTACACGCGCTCAGGGCCATTGATGGGTGTGGGACCCTGACTACCTTCGCACTTGACCTTCCTAAGTTGGGCTACCGGGAGCTGTGTGGTGAGAGCCTTGTGCCCCTCTGCAATGAGTTTGCGCCACAGAATGCGTCGTTTTGAAGACTGTTAATCATGCTAATATCTTGTATTCCTCTTTTTTGATAACAGGCACATCGTCCCGTATGGACTTGGAAGCCCTTCCAGGTCTAAGCGATCCTTAAAGGACTTATTTGCCACGAAGGCGACAGACCACAGGAACAGATGTCAGTGTGCCAGCCAAAAAGACAAGAAGTGCTGGACTTTTTGCCAAGTGGGAAAAGAGCTCAGGTGAGGTAGAAACACCTTTGCTTTCGATTAGTTTTATGGCCTCCCGATCGTCCGGTCCTGATGTTGCTGCCTTTTTGCTTAAGAGAAATTAACAGAGACTTTGTGAGGAAGGAGAGTCCCATTGCTGAAGTACATTTCCCCATCTGTCTTGTAACAGGGGTCAAGACAGTATGGAGAAGGGCTGGCATGACCAGAAGAAGGGAAAAGACTGTTCTGAGCTTGGAGAAAAGCGTACTCATCACCAGCTGGTGGCGGGAAGAAAAATAAGAAGGTAAGAGACTCGCAAATAGGAGAAAGGCTTGGAAGAAGAGAACACAGATTTTCGTGGTCTGTGGATTAAAAAGAGCAGAGGAATCCCTCCCAGATGTTTTTTTGAAGACCTTGAATGCAGACCTTTGCCCCCTACACACTTTGGTGATCTTAAGCACATGCCGCCCAGTCTGAAGGTAGATCGTCCAAACAGAATACATCTACAGACACCTTTGTCATTCGGTCATAGCTAGTCCTTGCTTTTCTGCATCAGTGTATTTACCGCTTTGCTTGAGAAATTAACAGTCTTTTCAGGGAGAGCGTTTTTGTTTTGGGGTTTTTTTTTTTGGTTGCTTATTTTATTTTATTTTTAAATCAAAGTGTCCCACATAATTAAGGTTTCCAAAAGTTGTAGCAGTTATTCCAATGGCCCAAGGGAGAATAAAGTCATTAGGTAGGGTTGGTGAGAATTAGAACGAGCTGTGTTGGGGGGTTATTATTTTTTTTTTTTTAATTTTTTTTTTCAACGTTTATTTATTTTGGGGACAGAGAGAGACAGAGCATGGACGGGGGAGGGGCAGAGAGAGAGGGAGACACAGAATCGGAAACAGGCTCCAGGCTCTGAGCCATCAGCCCAGAGCCCGACGCGGGGCTCGAACTCACGGAGCGCGAGATCGTGACCTGGCTGAAGTCGGACGCTTAACCGACTGCGCCACCCAGGCGCCCCGTTATTTTTTTTTTTTTTTTTTTTTTTTTTTTTTTTTTTTTTAAACAGGGAAGCGCATTCGGTGGAGAGCCAATGTCTTCTGAAAAGCTCTCCCATTTTCTAGTAGGTCGTGAGCTGGGGCAGAGAAAGAACGTAGATCAGGCAACACCGTAGGGTTGTGATGGCTCTCGACCTCTTGAGTGATGACCCTTCCATATCCCAGACATGTCAGCATTCACAAGCTGGGGGGGGAGAAACCTGCATTCAGATCTGTCACGTGTTCAACATTTCCCCATCGTGGTCCGCGGGCACTTTTCCTAGAAATCCAGTGGCAAGAGGTTCTATGCTCAAAGTGTCTGAGCACAGTCCTGACAGCCGTGAACTACTTCTGAGGGGTTTACTGCTGGTGTGTGGGACATCCTTAGCTGTCTGTGACTTCTCACTTTGCCATTGCACTTTCCATATTTATAATCTCAGGCCACTGATGCTCCTCCCCCAGATCACAGGGTTAGGTAAACAGACTTGGAAATTATTATTGTTTTTCTATTAGTTTCTATTATAGCAACTCATGTCAATGCAATATATATATATACACACATATATATATATACACACACATATATATACACATATATATACACATATACGTATATATATATGTGTGTGTATATATATGTGGTTTTTATTTGCGGTACCATATTTGCTTGGAGCAAAGCTATATTCCTCCTCTCTTTTTAAAGTTTCTTTCCCATCAAGTTACCTTTAATTTCTTTACGTGACAAAGCAGATATCCATGATTATTTGAAGCCTACGTTGAGTCAGTTTCTCTGTAGAGTCCCGTGGTGGTCGTAGTTGGGATGGAGCACAGGAGACAAGACAATATCTCTAGCTTACCTTGAACTTGTACTTTAAATTTGTATTTAATGCCCGGTTCCCTTTAGATATGACCGCTGCTGCTCCCTTCCTCTCCCCCCTATTCCAAGCATAAGGGGCAGGCTTTATTTTCACTTGAGGTTAACAAAGGGAAGCATGCTGTTGCGGTCGGCGGCGAAAGTTCAGGCACTGGACTTAGAGTCTAATTTTAGATGCCTCTTTTGCCCAGCAACGATTTTTAAGAAAATAACATTTGTTTTCTCTCGTCTTGTTTAATAGGTTGGACGCCATCAGGAACAGCATCAAAACAGCTTTCCGTGTTGCAAAGCTGAAAGCGGAGATGTACAGAGAGAAGAAAGTGACCCACAACCGAACGCACTGATTGATGGCAGGTGGCCGGGGCCTGTCACATGCCATCTCCTCCCCGGAGGGAACCCTGTGGCTGATTCTGCACTCTCTCCACATGGCTGGGATCAGAGCAAAAGCATCCTCCCTGCTTAGACCGTTTCTTGCTCCAGACTGGCAGCGGGCCAGTGTCCTCACTGTAAACATTCCAGGGAAGGTTAAGGAGTCCCCCCAATCTGTCTTCATTTGCTTCCATCAGTGGTGACCGCTTCCGTCTTTCCTCATCTGGGGTGATAGTTGGACCACGCAGAAAGCAGAGAGATACAGTGACTTGTGGATTAGGGTGGCATCCTCCAGAGGGAGGACAGGAGATTCCACACGCGGTGGAATTTCTGAAGAGGGTCCGAAGGGAGTGTTTGTGTCTCACTCAGGCGCCTGGCACGTTTCAGGGAGAAGCTCCAAAGTCCATGCAAAGATTTTCTAAGGAATGCACAAATTGAAAACACGCTCGAAGGACACTCAAGTAAAAAAAAAAAAAAAAAAAAGCAAAATACTTTTATTATTTTTTTCATTCACAAAAATGCAAACTGAAAGACACTGTTACTACTGTAAAATCAGGATGGGTTTGATGAATATGAGTCTACCTCACCTATATTGCACCCTGGCAAGAAGTATTTCCCCACCTTTAATTATTGCCTCCCTTCGCTCTTCCCCCTCCTGCCCTCCCCTCCCCCCAAAGCCCCCGTTGTAAATCTTGGCCTCATAGATGTCTAGTCTAACATGTCAGTAGTAGATGTAACGTTTCATGGTAATCTACTAGCTCTGATCCGCAAGAAAAAAGGTCATTGAATCAGGAGGTTCCCTTGCCTTGATCTTTGGAAACACAATGGTATAGAATTGTTTATGGAAGACGTTGAAAAGTAAACATTTGGTGATGCTTTAAAGCAGTGAAATTATTTTCCTTTATGTAAGTGGCTAATGGAAGAGGTTGGGATAAATTTTGACGTACTTATTTTTTTATAGATATTTATATTCTAACAGTTTATTCCTTATATTTACCATGTTAAATATATGTCTGGGCAGGCCATATTGGTCTATGTATTTTTTTAAGTGTATTTCTGAATGAAATTGAGAAAAATGCTTTGTTTTGCCTGTCAAGGTAATGACTCTAGAAAATAAATATTTTTTTTCCCTACTGTACTGATTTTGAGTCATTTCTGAAATTCCCAAGAAGTGGGCCATGATGCTAAGAATTATGAAAGGAAGTGATTGAAAATGGTTTTTTAGGGGCGCCCGGGTGGCTCAGTCGGTTAAGCGGCCAACTTCGGCTCAGGTCATGATCTCGCGGTCTGTGAGTTCGAGCCCCGCGTCGGGCTCTGTGCTGACAGTTCAGAGCCTGGAGCCTGTTTCAGATTCTGTGTCTCCCTCTCTCTGACCCTCCCCCGTTCATGCTCTGTCTCTCTCTGTCTCAAAAATAAATAAACGTTAAAAAAATTAAAAAAAAAAAAAGAAAATGGTTGCTTAGGTGACAATAAGAAAGAACATAGTCTTGGCTGATTATGAAAGAACTCCATCTGGATCTTCAAAGTTGCCTTCAGATGACATTAAGGTAAAAACAAAACAAAAACCCAGCTTCGATACCTCTGTCTTTCCCTGGATCGAAGCTTTCTGCTTCCCCTCCCCCTGAAAACTCCCAGGGGCTTACTTCATCCATTAACTTTACTTAGGCGATTAGACAGGATCCAACAGCTCAAGCGGATGGTGTGGTGAGAGGTGCTCTCTCCATATTAACGGGCTGAAGGAAGCAATGGCAAGGCGACTCCCAAAAAATGTCACCGAATTATATCCGGTTCCACACCATTCCAGAGATGAAATTCCATTCTGCATTCCAGAGAAATGCTTGGAGAAAGCAGCCTGCCGAGGGCAAGTTATGGGTCCCCTGTAGCATTGTGAATGTTATTTATTTATTTATTCATTTATCGCTCAGATTAAGAGCTTGGTTATTTTTTTTTTTTTTTTTAAATTTTTTTTCAACGTTTATTTATTTTTGGGACAGAGAGAGACAGAGCATGAACGGGGGAGGGGCAGAGAGAGAGGGAGACACAGAATCGGAAACCGGCTCCAGGCTCTGAGCCATCAGCCCAGAGCCCGACGCGGGGCTCGAACTCCCGGACCGCGAGATCGTGACCTGGCTGAAGTCGGACGCTTAACCGACTACGCCACCCAGGCGCCCCAAGAGCTTGGTTATTAAGGAACACTAAGCGCCTTTGCTTGTCCTCAGTAGCCCAGGACTGGACACAAGCTGGTGGAGGAAGAGACACCAAGTGCTGGTTCTGGAACACGGGCACTATTGCACACCCTCCTGGCCTCGCCAAACCATCCGGGAGACTGATATTGCCAATGGCCATTACCAACAGAAGCCCATAAGGGTTTGATGAGCTTTCGAGACTCTTTACCACCCTTTCCCAATAGCAAGGAATGCCTGGCATTCAACAAATATTAGCTCATGATGATCACTGTTGTCTAAACAAGGACACATTTGAAGGATGTTAAATAACAGCCTTCAGGTGTGCATCGACAATGTCCTAGGCAGAGTTTCTATCTTTATTGACATTGTTTCTCATCTTCCATTCTCTCTCTCTTCTTTTAAGAGACAGTCCAATATCTCAAAATGCGGTTTCTGGAAGTCCATTTAGAACCGATTTCTGTCTATGCACCAAAGGCCAGGCAGAGCTTTGATCTCAGGACTCCAAGGACCAGATATCGCTTTATCTAGCAAACTGTTTCTCAGTGTGTAATTCTCAAGGGAATTGTGGACTTTTGTCCACAATGACAAGGGGCTTGGCTTGAACTTGGTCACTATTTAATCCTGCGCAACCATCTGGTCCCTCCGCATCGTGGGTTTCCTTCCCTGTTAAATGAGCAAGAGGGGAATCTGTCTAAAGGCTCGAAGAAAGAGCCTGCGATGTCATGAAGAAGTTGAGTGGACACGAGACAGTGAAGGTCTGAGCTCGGAGGTTGTGGGTCCATTACCTTTAAGAGGGAGTTGAAATGAGAAGAAGCCATGGAGTAATAGAACAACACAGCAAGCAAAGGTGATAAGGGTCTCTTTTCTTTTCTTTTCTTTTCTTTTCTTTCCTGTTCTTTCCTTTACTTTCCTTTTTTTGTTTTCTTTCTTTTCTTTCTATTTCTTTCTTTCTTGCCTCCTTTTCTTTCTTTCTTTCCTTCTTTTCTTTCTTTCTTTCTTTCTTCATCTCTCTCTCTCTCTCTTCTTCTCTTTCCTTCCTTCTTTCTTTTACTATTTGGGTCTTGACACCCTCTTCCTCCATGCTTCCTGCTCCAGTAGCCTGCAGCAGCTCTCCAGGGCATGAGGGTCAGTAGTAAAATAAGCTGGAAGATTTAGAGGGAATGAATCTTTTTCAAGTATATAGAGGAAAGATTTGATACTATGAAAGGCTCCTGCTGTCTTGAGGAGTGCAGTGGTGGAATGGTCTGTCACATGTCCTGCTGTTTTCCCAGTAAAACGGCTGTGTTTGGAAGTCCATTCAGGACAGATTTCTCCCATTGCACTAAAGGTCAGGCAGAGCTTTGATCTCAGGACTCCGAGGACCAGAGGATCCTGGGTGGGGAGTAGCCATCCTTTGCTGGAGGGAGAGGAGACCACTAATGGGTGCTGAATTCTTCTCCCCAGGAAATCACTTCATTTGTGATGGAAACCATTGGCTTTTATCCTGCCTATACTTCCTGAAACGCTCAGGGTATTATACTAAGTGGAGTTCTCACAACACAGCGTATTATCACTAAGCTACAGTCCTCTCAGGAAGACTTTGTATTTCCAGGGGAAAAAGCCAAGGTCCCGAGAGGGAAGTGACTTACCTAAGATCACGCAGCTGTGGCATCTCTGGACCCTGAACCCTTGAGCACAGATGCTTTACCTGGAGACACCTGGAGGTCACAGGAGACTGATGCCCGAGTAAACCTTAGCAGAGGGTTCTGGGTAGTGAAGGCAAAGCTTTGCCTTCCAGCCTCACAGGCGATATTTGGCAGATCCACCCTTGCAGTATATAAGGGAAGAAACGTAAGGGAAGAGAAAAGGAATATAAGGAGGCATACAAGTCTCAAGGCTTCGTGAAGTGAATTGCTATAGGACGAAATAGAATATAACTGGGAAGGTGTATTTGTTATTGCTTTTATAGGATTTAGTTTCTAAATAATCTTTAGATAATACGAGTGAAGGGACATTCCTTTGTTCAGTCCTCTGATATAACTCTATGATAATACTCAAGTACAGTAGTACTCGAGATACTGTGTTTTATTTCTTTGTCTACAGTCCTGAAAATGTTCCTTTTCAAGCCCTAGATCTCAATATGTAAAATGCAGTTTTTAAGCCCATATTTTCAATGGAGTTTTTTTTTCCACCTCAGCTTTCTCTCCTTTTTGTATTCCTCACCGTTTTGGGGATCCTGGCTTTGGGGCCCAAAACAGATATATCTAGCGCAAGTGACCATTACTATTCTCAGAACCTTATGATTTAACAATGACCTCTCATCTTGTAGAGAACCAGACTGCCCATAACATTTTCCCTTTTGTCATCGACCCCCTCTCCCGCAACGATCTTTTCAGGATTTGGAGGCCATATTTTTATACCCTTTTGACAGCTGAGGAAACAGACATATTGAATGAGTAAGTGACTTGTCCAGACTCTTCCGTCAGGCAAACAAGACCCTTGGACTCTTTCTCCTAAAACTGCCCCAGAGCAGAGGGGATACCACTGGCCCAGAGTTTTGGACAAACGTAGAGTATTTTCATCTCGCCAGTGAACTATGAGAAGAATTAGCTTCTTATTAGTCTCTCGGGAATATCAGTGCCCCACATGCACCCCTGCACCCTTGTCCTGAGCATTTCCATTGTACAATATGTGTTTACCACATCATCTTTGGTATGTCTATGGACAGATGGCAGAGAAATCGTGACAATTTACGATGCCTGTTTCCAAACCTGGTGTCATGGCACGCTTCACCACCAGCCATGGGTCCAATGCAAGGGAAGACATTGTAGTGATAAATGGGATGGCGGAGGTCCTACTGCTTCCCCAGAATAATCAGAGAAAGAGCTAGGGCTGGTGCTATTAGATAACGAAAGCAGAAGGGCATGGGTCTTAGGGACACTGATGGGAATCATGGGTCCCAAGCATGATAGGCTGCTCCCAGCTCTGAGAGGCAGCACACTGGGGATTTGACACATAGACTTGCTGGTCAGCATTTTTTCATGTGTGTTTCTGCCTCTTATTTCCCCGCTTTCATATTCTGATTCACTCCAGGTCTCCACCATAAACTGCTATGGAATATTGCGAGGGATGGGACTCGCAATGTTAAGCTACTACTGCATTGGCATGGGCACTGGCTAGGTGGAACAGACAGGGCCAGAACTGTGGGGGTAGGTTCCTGGTGGCCCCCAGGTAGGCCAGGACGGTAGGCCTCCAGGTGCTGAA